ATTTGCTCCCAGCTCTATTTCTTGCTTGCAATGGTGCAGTCCAGGGGTAGGCAACTTTTTTTGGCTGTGGGCTGGAACAACCCACCATGGGTCAGAGGTTGGTGGGCACTAGGACTGGGCCACACTGCCTCTTGTCCCCACAGTGGCACAGGAGAGCACCTGCAGTCAAAGCCCCCTGCCGCTGAATGCCCCCATGTCTCATGCCCGCGGGCTGGATCCAGCCCATGGACCATAGGTTGCTTACTCCTGCTGTGGTAGGATGCTATTAAAGGCAAGCAGCTGTCCAATATATGCAGAAATGAAAAGGGAGTCTAATAGTGTTCCCCCCGTGTCATTTGTTCTGCAGTTAGATCGTTTTGTCTCTGGATTTGTGCCAAGACACTGCATGATAAAAACACATTTTTGAATCTAGGAGTCTTCCACGGAAACCCAGTGACACGTAGCTAATGAACTTGACCACTGCTAGCAGGGAGCTAGCAGCTGGGTGAACACTGGGGAGACCTGTCCAGGCTGGTTGCAAAGGCCAGTGAAGTTAATGAAACTGCTCCCTTCAAAAGACTTTGGCTGGGGACGGCTAGATGATTTTATATTCCCATGAGGGTCCAAACTGCAGTGAGTAGACCATGTAGCCATGCAAGTCCCTCTGTTGCAGAGCGCCGTCCCTGCTCTCAGCAAACCAGACCAAGTGCTCCTACAAATGCATCTAACTTTACAAATGGTGGCTGTGATTTTACCAGGGCCTCATTCCTAAAAAAAAAAAAAATCACAGGAGAGTCTTAATGAGCCAACAAATGAGCCGCAGCTTATCATGAGACTTCTGCAGGTTTTTTGGAGCAGTTTGCTTTTCTATTAATTCTTGTTTTTTTCCTGTTGCAGCTTACACAGCTGGATCTAATACACAACACATAATGCAAGGCATGGTTTAAAAAGCCTCAGCTGAGTTTTGAAAGGGTTCATGTCGGCTTATCATATGATACCTGCAACTTTGGCATGCCGAAACCTACAGTCACCAATTACTATCTGCAAACTGTTGACGGGAATCCAGCCTTCTTTTCTTCTGTTAAGGTTTTTCACCAACCTTCGAATGATAAACGTAGTAGTGGAAAAGGTTAGCGGTTTTACAGCAGGAAATGACAGTTCGCATGCAATTGTCATGACTAATTTGTAAAAAAATTACAGAACATAGATGCTGTTCAAATATGTGGCCTGGATCCATCAAAGCACTTCAATGAGATTAGGACCAGGCTCAAGTACTTTGCTGAATCCGGGGCAGGCTGCCTAAAAGAAAGCATCTAAATCAATGTTTATGCACCTGCAAATCCTTATAGCCATAAATAATCTTAGTCAGACAAACAGTCTGACTGAATTCAGTGAACCTAACCAGAAGCACTTATATTACTTTACTATAAAATCATAGAATGTTATGTGATATTGCCTATTATCTTTTTATAAGTTTTTACACATAAGCATTGATATTATTGGGCTTGGGGCAAGGTAGCCAGGTTTGAAACTAAGACTTTAATGGCTCCATCTCAGTCAAATGCTTTATTTACAAATATATATAACCAAGGCATCTTTACCACCTGACATGAATTTAATCATTTTTTAAACTTATTACATAATAAATTGTAATGTTTTCTTGATAACACTTAACCAGCCTATATTATTCCAAATTCCCTTTGATGCTCTTGTGATGCAGGTAAATATAAATTGGTAACCCTAGCTATAAAGGGCTGTCTGATGCACGGAGGTTAAGTAATTTGCCTAAAGCTATAAAGGGAGTCAGTGTCAGAGCTGGGAACTCAAGACCTCCCTGCTCCCAGTCTTTGTCTAGCCCACCACTACTGCTTATCATTGGTTGTTTTACATCTTTCAGAAGTGCAGCATCATTTGGTGCCATGTACATCCTTGCCATTTTTCACCACTTTTGTTCCAGACTACTGCCATATCTAGTTCTCACCTATCCAGGATCACTGTTTGGTCTCAGGGGTATGATGCCGCACCGTGACACAAAGAGATGGAGCTGATTTTTGGCGCTGTTACTTCTTTCTATTAGAATCAAGAAACTATCTATCTCTGTGCCTCAGTTCTCCATCTGTAAAATGGGGATAATACCAGTTTCCTTGCATAATAGCTACTACACAACAATAATAGATAATACCTAATATTACTAGATACAGAATCCCCTTGCCCATGTCTCTTGCCATGCCCATGTATGGTGCCTACCACAGTAGCTGCTCCAAGCCCTACATCAGCCCAAATTACTGAACAAACACCGCTCACTCACCAGCGCTGCCAGGAGTGAACTAACATGTAAGGATAAAAGGCAGGATTTTAAGATACAGGGAGCCTGGGGGGGTGGGGCAGCCAGCCTGCCAGCCTGGAGCTGCTCTGTCTGGCTCAACGTGCTGCGGAGGGGCTGATTGGGGCAAGAGAGCGTTACTGTGCGGGGTAGCTGGCAGGCAGCCCCCACACCGTAGCACCCTGGTGCCCCAGCCATCCCCCCTCACTTCCTACATGTGCGTTGTGGTGCACTAAATAACTCCACCATAGGACAGTACTTGTGTCGGGCAGTACTATCCTATAGCAGAGTTAATTAATTTACTCCAGCCTAATAGCACTGCACATGTGGATGGTGATGCTTTACTGTGGAGCTAATTAGTCAACTCTGCAGTAAAGCGCATGTGTAGATGCCGCAACAGAGAGCTTAATTTGGACTCTCTCTCTCAAAACTGCTAGAGAGCCAGTCAGGACTGACAGCCCATCAGTAGAGGGCACTACTGCACGTTCATGCTACAGTCTCCAGTACACAATAAGATCAAAGAAATAGATGTTTTTGGTTCACTGTTTTCCCTCCCCAAATTATAACATACAAATAATAATGAATTCCTCCAGTTTAGAATTAAAAAAATCATTTAAAAGAGTTTGGCAAATAACAAATTTGGGGGAAAAAATCATTTTGGTTCGACTGAAACAGCTTCTTTTAACAAAATTAAAACGACACCTTTTGATTTTGAGCTGTTGACATTTTGTGTCTGTAAAAAAAAAATAAAATAAAAGAAGAAATGTTGGAACAAAAATTGTTCAAATAAAAATAAAGGTTTTAAAATGCCAAGTCTGGCAGGCTGCATTTTGCAGAATTTTTTCCCAAACAATAAAAAGGGAGGAAATCTACATATATTTGCTAAATGTTTCAGTATCAGTGAATGGGCTTGTTCCACTGAAGCAGCAATGCACTCAGCAAAACTGGTTTCATTGCTTTATGCATTGATGTCCTGCATATCGAGCTCCATTTATCTGAAAATACCAATGACTAGATCTTGGCTAGGAATCTCCTTAAGGGAATTTTGTAGCTGCACCCTTACAGGTTAGTCAGTGCACAACTCCAGCTCAGGCTTTTGATAACCCTTCTCTTGCACATGCATGTACACATATCCCCAAAACCCAGGAGCATATACACAGTGCTGCCGGAGCATGCTGACTGCATTCATACTGAGACCCAAGGAAGCACTTCCAGGCTCTGACTGACAAGTTAGAAATAAATCAACCTGAAAAGAAGGAAAATCAGCCAGGACTCTGGGCCAAATTGCTGCAAAGACTGCAAGAGAGCATCGTGTCCTCTGAGAGAATGAAGATCCTGGTTTGACATGCATGAGATCAGGTCTGGTGATTTCCTAGGCAGTATTCCCAGCTGAAAGCTGAAAACCTGCTGTGAAGCCTCACCTGCAAGCCCCAGCTTTAAATAACCCTACCAAATGGCATGGTAGGCATTAATTAGTAAACTCTTGTAAAGCCATTCAGAGAAGGAAAATGCCTTGTAACTGGTAAGTATTATTATTATTATTATTATTATTATTATTATTATTATTATTAATAATAATAATAATAATAATAATAATAATAATAATAATAATAATATGCCTGGAGGAATGAAGCCATGAGCTGAGCTGGAGAAGACAAAGAAAGGACCAAGAGCAGTTATTCAAGGCGTCATTTTAAACATTTAAAAGGCCACTTTGCAATGTATTTGAAGTTACCATAACTCATTCCAGCTGTTAAGGGAAACTTGGCCACAATTTCCAGGGGCCTAAACTAGTAACAATGGACTCCATCATTTGTAGTTTGTTTTCTTGGTAAGGTACACACATGAAAAAACACAAGGCAGCTATGCGAGCAGTTCAGTTGGGCTAGACATCATTATCTTGTAGGTCCCAGAGGGAAGGAGCAAAGAAAGTCAAAACACCTACCACTGTCCCTCACCATCCTCCTGTAAAAGCTGAATCACATCCCCATTCTTAACCAGCAGATCTTCAGATCCTCCTTTCTTGCAGTCTGCTAGGGCTTTGTATTTTCCTGGAGACTGGAACATTAATACAAAATTACTTTGCACAAACTCCTTTTCAAAACACTGCCTAATTAATTGTTTTGTAAAGTAAAGTCTTCATATATGAGTGCCACGGGGAAACGGGTAGTCCTTTGGCTTCTTCAATAATAATCAATCAGGCAACAATGTAGGAGGTAAGCATGTGTACAACTCTTCTTCTTAACACTTCGAAAACACATTTTTATCTGAAAAAGACAATTAGTGTAATATATGCAGCAACTGATAACATGCTATGAAAGAAAAATCCATTGATGGTGAAAACCACTTGCTTCCCCACCCGCGTCCTCCCTGCAAAAAAAAAAAATTAGTACCTATTTAAAAAATGCTGTTTTTTTTCTGGTACTATTTTGACTTGCCACATTTTATGATTTTTCTGTAGCAAGTCACAATACATTAGACATTGTGGCATTAATACAGCATATTACAGATGGCACTGCAAGATAGCTTAGCTACTGATGCAATTAGAGGTTCACCCTGTGCTTCTCTCCTAGTGTGCACAGTAATAAAATGGGTTAAAGAAATAATTAAATAAAAATGAGCTGCTGTGTAGAATGACCCACTGTTTTGGAAACAGAATTATTGCAAGATTGCTTTAAAAAGGGCGGCTTGTACAGGAGATGGGGGCTGTTCAGACTGAAGGGCAGTACCAAATTTACAACAAAGGGTGAAGATGTATACCCCTGACATGAAATGTGTCCTGGATGACTGGAGACAGGTAAGTTGGATGGTGTATGAATTGTGGGTACAGGGAAGGAGACTCAAGGCTTTGTGAATAAAGGGCAATGATTCTCAACCAGGATGATGCATACCCTGGGGTGCCTTGAGATCCTTTTAAGGATGCCACACAACAGTTGGTGTGCAAACACCTACAGGTTATTCACAAGACAGCCCCCAAGGTTTCAAATAGGAATCCAGAGTGTCAAGAGCATTCTGCCCTGTTGCAGTCTTTCTGAGCTCTCTGCAGGAGAAGAACGGTTCTATTATTTTTCTGTAGTCAAGAAACAAGTGAAAGCTAAGAGCTGGCATTTTCCAAAGAGTGCCTTGACTCTAATGAGGGTTGCCTTAAATCTGAAAAGGTTGAGAACCACTGGTAAATGATACCAAGGTGGTGGCATGTCAACTTAAGCTGCAGACAGGTAGTATAAAGGCTGCTTATGAACATCATAGTGTCATGATTAATGACAGCCCTTTGCAACTGTATCAGCCAATTACAATTTCCAGGAACAAAACCTCTGCATCCCAGGAGGCAGAAAGCCAAAGCTAAATGACTTGCTCATGTTTATGGAGTCTGCTCATGGTTACAGGGTCTGTTGAAGAGCCAGAAAACAAGCCCAGTCTCAGTACTGACAGTCCTGTGCTTTGGGAACGAGACCAATTTTGCCACCTCAGGGTGATCTCCCCTTTAATCTGACTCTGGTTTCTCCTTCCTTGGAGCACTGCTGATTTGCTTCGTGGGTTGCCTGCTCCCTAATCTGGGGAGTGTTTCATTGACTAATAGGCTCCTATTTCAGCAATCTGAGCTGAAATGTAACCAGATGGTAATTGGAAGTTAATGAAGTATGAATATGTTTTTGATGTTGATGAAATTGTTTCTTTCTTAAGTGGTTACATCCTTTTTATAATTGTTATTAAAAGTTCTAGCAAAAAAAAAAAACCCAGATACATGAAAATCCAGAGAATGGAAGGCTGGCAGTCTTTCAATGGAAATAGATAAAAACATCCGAAACATGACCCATATTGGCATTTTTTTGTTAAAAAACTAAAATTGGTTTCAAGATACCTTGGTTCAACATATTCCCCTTTCTTCTCTTAACTTTCCAAGTTGAGATGATACAGGAATTTGATTGCATAGACTGTTGGAGACAGAATACTGGGCTGGGTAGACCAGTGGTCTGACCCAGTATGGCAATTCTTGGCTAAGTCCAGGCAGTCAAAAAGCTGGTGGCTGAACTGATTCAGTCTTCGCAGGTTGGTCTAAGCTGCATAGTCTGAACTGATAAGCAAGTGAACAGACATTCACTTTTGATTCAGGAAATGCAGCCACGTGCCTGCCGTGACCCATGCCAGAGGATGCTAGAGCACTCCTCCCTGCTCGGCTGGAGCAGAAAGCACGGGTCAAGGTTAGCCCGCCCACCCTGCAAGGAGTCGGGGAGGGTTTTTCAGGGGAGGTGCAAGTATCCTGGGATGCTGGGGGGACTGTGACTCTAGAGGGGATCTTGGACAGAAGTTTAATAGACCGATTTAACCTAAAGCAGTTAAGTCTGATACTGCATCCATCCAGGTTTATCCTAACCTGCATTTTGACCATTTTGAAAGCAGTTTATGGGTGCCTATACATGAGCAGCAAGGTGGCTCTGACGTGCTGTAAGTACAGTGCATGGGAGCCTGATGGAGTGTGGTAATTACCGTGCTCCAGCAGACTCCAGCATCTCATGTATCAGTGTCCCTGCACTGAAAAATGGTGGTGGGGATGTTTTAACTATAGCTTGTTCAATGAGCTTTAATTGAAGCACCCCCGTTGCCATTTTTCAGCAGAGGGACACTGATACACAAGATGCTCTGGGTGCTTTAATTAGAGCAGCTCTTGGGGCCATTCTTAATTAAAGCAACCTTTTGCAGCACCCCCCTCACCACACACACACACTCCTGAAGCATGTGCATAAGCACCCTGTGTGCACTTAACTTCTGCTGTGTCACAGATTTGAACTGGTTTTTGATCACTTATACCAGTTTATATGTAATTTCTGTCCCTAGTCCTTATGTTCTTAGATTAAAACAGTTATCCGAGCGAATAAACAGAGATACCTGCAAGTGTGTAAATTGTGACCTGGTAGGCTTGTCACAGCAGTTGCAAGAGGCACTGTTGGTGCAGCTCTTGAACTCAGGGGGTGAACACTGCTACCACTCACCCCCCATCCCTTCACCTGCTGCAAAATTTAAGGTCTTTAGTTGTCACTGGTGGGGGAAAAGGAAGGATGAGTGGTGGTGGCAGTGTTCTCCCCTTGGTTTCCCAGAGCTGTACCAATGCAGCGGCTCCGGTAGCTATACCAACAAGCGGCCACCCCACCACCAGACATGAGTCATCCAGCCTGAGAAAACCCCAACAGTCCAGATCAATCCCCCTGGGCTTAGACACCCCACACCATGACATAAGCCACTGCAGAATTTAACAAAAGGGAGGAATCTTATCACAGAGACTTAAGAGTCGCATGACTTAATATGCCTTGTAATGCATTACTAACCAACTGGCTTCCATCTTCTTCTTCCGTGTCTGAGCAATTGGAAAGGTAATTGTTGCAGGACCAGTCCTCCAGTCCTTCACAGATTTCGACTGATTGTGACATTCCTGGCCAACCTGCAAGAAAACACGTAAATCAAGATCCTGGTTGAGGTGACCCAAATACACAGGGCATGACAATGTAAGGGCACACTGCGTATTGCACTTACTTCTGTTTGGCTTGTTTTGAGGTGAGAGGAGGACGCTGTCCAACATTATAGGACTGGTTCGTTCAGAATCGTTTTCCTCGGAGCTTATGGAGGCTCTCTGCTGCTTTCTGAAACAGTCACAAGAAACCAGGTGTCATCACATTTTAAATCTGGAACATTCTGAGAAGCCCAGAGTCAGAAATAAGCATGTGCTAGAAGGTGCTTCTGAGCACATCAGTGGCCCTGAAGGCACATCATCTAGGTTTGGGGTGTGGTTTGGGGGTCCAGTGGGAAGAAAGAACGAGAAAACATTGCTAAATGCAATTGCTTTGTCCAAGTTTCACATAACATTGGCTCTTGATTTTTCCTAACCATATTCTCCATGGTGATATGCTTTCTACAGCCAAAGCTCAGAGTGTTTTCACTTGTGTGGGAGTTCAGTGCACTGCCCTACGGCAGGATCCCAGGCTCCGGTTGTTTAAGAGAAGATGAGATTCTGTGCTCTGCTTAAAGGAAAACGGAAGCAGAGTTAATGCAACTCCCTGGGGTTTGGCTAAGTGACAACAGTCTCCTCGGGTTGTCCTGCAGACTATGGCACTGTCCAGGATCTCCACAGCACTGCACACATCTGCCCCAATGCCAAGATGCTCCTTGGGTCTCCATTACCCTCTCCCCATGCCCAGGTTTAGAAGCAGCCTTACAGCTGTTCTCCACTGTATGCCAGTGGGAATACTTTTCATCTGGATATATAGCTTCCAGAACCCCTTGACACTGTCCCTTCCTGCTCACATGGCTTCAAGGCACTCAGATGGGGTGTACATCTAGCCCAAGGACTACGTAGGTGACCTTCAGTTTAAGCCTGTGCTTAAATAACAAAGAAAGAAAATGACCTTTGTGTAGGCTGTCTGACATACCCATCGCTCAGTGGAGGAGAAAGCTGGACCTGGTCTGTGCACGAAGTGGGTTGCTGTTTCTCCACTGTGAATGGGTTGCAAATACTGTGTTAGTTTAATGCCTTTTGTCAAATCACTCACAGACCTTGTATACAAAGGGTTATTTTAAAAGCACAGCTTTTTTCTGTCTATTCAGCCAACGCTCCCATCATTTTCTAAAGGCTCGGTAGGATCTCAGTGAAGTGCACCAAAGACTGCAAAGTCTAAGTGAGCAATTTTTGCAAACTGGAGAGTTAAAGTGAGTCAGTACAGCACATTAGTACAAATCCAACACTAAACCTTCATGTAGTGACTCAGTACAGCGTATTAGTACAAATCTAACACTAACCCTTCATGTAATGATGCAGTACAGCTTATTGGTACACATCCAACCCTAAACCTTCATGTAGTGATTCAGTACAGCATATTAGTACAAATCTAACCCTAAACTGTCCTGTAGTGATTTAGTACACCATGCCAGTACAAATTCAACACTAAGCCTGCATGTAGACCTGAGGTCAATGGGACTTTTACCGTACTTAAAAGTTAGGCAAAAGCTTAGACACCTTGTTGAATCAGGGCCTAAGAGAGCAAATATAAAAGTTGAAAAACATCCAAATGCTGATGCAAAAATGCATCCATGCATTTGTTTGCTTTACACTTCCCATTAAACTAGTGCATTTTTAAAAAATAAAGTCTCCATAACAGGAGACCTCATTAAGGCACCTTATTAGCTTTCTGCTGGAAAACAGGTAAGCCACTGTTTCTTTGGTGAAACTGGTTGTGTTGGCAGCTTAGCAGTGCAAGAATTAGAAAGCTGTAGTGAAAGCCATGATGAAAGGCTCCAACATACCTTTTATAAGCTCCTGCTGCTTGAACAAAATTTTTCTTATTTCATTTAACCACGCCATCTTTAGATCTACTGTTTGGGCCTGCAAGAAGAGAACTACTTGAATTTTGATTGCTTGAATCAAATCTCCTATTGCAGTAATAGGGCTGAAGCTAAGGTTTCTGAACCACAATTTTTTGGAATGCGCTGTTAATTAAAGCTAGGTTACAGACTCTGACAGCTGTTACACTGAAAATGTTCTCGCTTTTCCAGAATGAGCTAATGTCCCCTATGACATTCAAATAACTATATTTATATTTGAATAACAAATTGGATTAATAAACACAGTTAATGGAGAGAGGTCATTACAATACGAGTGCAGTTAAACTGCTTTCTAGTACAAACAGTACAATCAAAAAGTAGAGAGGTGTTTCATTACTTCTTTTCCCCAAACACCTTTGGGTCTAAAATTGCCTTAGACAGCCACATTTCTACATGAGGGACTAAGCTGGTTCAAGAGTGTAAAGCAACGCAACGCAATTTGAAAATACTTTACTATTTCACAAGGGGATTTTCATGAAAAATATAAAGTCAGCTTAACTTTTCCATTTAGAATTTTATTTAAAAAAATGCTAGCAAAGTAAGAAGTCCAAAAAGGCATGTGATCAGGGGCTCCTGTTGTATACAGGAGTTATGAATGTCTGTTAATAGCCAGTTCAGTTCAATCAGCAACACAGCCAGCAACACAGCCCTGGGAGGGGGCTTGCGATCTTCCTGAATAAACAGTTAAACAAGGATCCAACTTTTGGAAACCACTGTCCTCTGTGACAGGCTCCATCTCCAATAACAATCCACTCCCAGGACTCTACCAATACAGCAAGAGTAGACATCTATTAAAAGACAAGTCCTAAACAAAGGTCCATCATGTCTCACATACAGCAACAAGTCAACCTTGCAGTGTGACTCTATGATGTGAAAAGACATCCATTATGACTGCCTGGGAAAAGGACTTCGAGAAACAAACTTGAGTTGCTCAACAAAATTTCCCATCCAAACAGGGATGGGTGTCCAAAAATGAAGCTCTATCACGGCACCGGCAGCTCACTGATTGACTCATTGATACTGGAAAGAAGTATGGTCCCTTGAAGGCAAAAGTCCATGGCAGCCTGCCGGGTGACCTGCTGAAGAGCTGGGCAATGGGTCTCAGCCTGCTTCTAGAATACCTATCCTATCAAAAGGTGTTGTATACTTATTGCTCCAAGTCACAATTTCCACAATATGCCTTTATTGTAGGCCAGGAGTCATTAGCACATCCCAGTGAAGACACTGCTGAGTGCTGATTTTGCAGGACCATATGCTATTAATCTATTATAGAACTATCTGCTTAATAGAGCAGCAAGGGAACCAAACCAAACCGGTCCAAACCTATTTGCCAGCCCATACGCCTACTTCATGTAGAGACAGGCCATTCTCTGTGGGTTGATGGCGCACCAATTTAAACACTGTGCTGAAAAACACAGTTATACACTGCACTTTAAAATGACAAACCTGTACAACGTACACCTCTTCCCGTCCACTATACCAGATCTCAAATTTTCGATGATCTCCTTTCACGTTTTCAGTGATGCCAACTGCATTCATCTGTTTAAAAAAAAATAAAAAATGAAGTGTCCTTTGAATTAAATGCCTTACGCATTTTCATCCTGAATTCCTGCAGGAATCTTAATGCGATCTTGCCTCCACCCTCGTACCAGCCTATTTCCTTAACAGTAACATATTTAATCAATGATGTGTTTTCAGTTGTGAATAAACATCCTTATCTGCAGTTGTTCACCTTGTTCTTTTTGTCTGTAACCTCTAGGAAAGCTTTCTTGAACCTATGAGCAAGTCTTTGGGGCTTTTTGTTGCATTCACAGATGAACAGGAGCAACCTAGAAGACAGGGTTTGAGTCCTCTGCCACCATGATGTCAACTTACGGTGATGAGAAAGTTTGAAGTTTGCAAGAAAAATGCACCCTTTGTTTCAGATAGAGCATCAAAGTTTCCAAATTCTACTTTTTATCCACTTTTCTCCCTGAAAGGCTAATGCCTGTGTGCTTCCAAACAAGGGGTAAATATTTCAGATATCCCACCTGGGCAGCTTTGAGACTAGCTCTCAGAAGAACCAGGCGCCACAAATTTCCTCTGAGACTCGGGCTTAGTTTGCCTAAAGACGGGCACACAAAATCCTAGGCTGGCTTTGAATATTTGGCTGGAAGGGTGCCAGGTACAAAGAGATCACAGGTTTGCACAGAAAGACTCGGTGAATCAACGGTTCAGACTAGGATCAAAGCCCAGGAAATTCTTAGCCCTTGGTTAAGCCTTTCCCCAGTCTGCTAAACCTAGCACCCGATTACTGACACACCAGCAATTTATGCTGTGCTACTTTTTATTATTTGGTTCATTCATCAAAAGGTGGTGAATTAGCGTGCTGCTTGTTGACTTTTTTCAGCAAAGTGTATCAAGGACATACAGCTAATTGGTATACGATGAAAAATAGGAGAACCCCCCCCCACATAATACTTTGAACTAGCTCTGCTAATAATGCATTTTGTGCCATATGTCATCTTAAGCTGCTCAAGAGAACCACATGAAATAAACCTCATAAGATACAAATGCACCTTGCAGAAGGGGAACCTCCGTCTAAAGTTACCATTGCACACCACGCAAACACACACGTGCGCAGCTTTATGTCTGAAACACCGAGACAATGTAGAAATTGGACAACCTGGGTAAACCTTCTGTTCCTACCTGCTTTTAAAAAGTTGGCACCAATATCAATAAGTCTGAAAGATGCCCTCAGGAAAGAAATTTAAAAAAAAAAAAAGAATAAAGAGGCAGCAAGGTGCTAATTAGCTTTCCTAGTTTCTGCAAGTGAATCTGAAACACTGTGGATATAAATTGCATCATTCTCTGTGAACTTCGGAGGCAGAATTATTCCTGGATACAGAAAAAGGTATGTCCGTGAGCAGCAATAAATTGGTCATAGCCCTTGGGTTAAATACAAAACTGGACTGACGCTTTACAAAATCCCTGGTACCTACATGGACTAGGATCCATTGGTCAAAGCTATGTCAGGAAACCCACTCACTAGACCTATCCACTAAACATCCACATTCAAGAACTATTTACCTGCTTCATACCCTCAACCTCCACAAATAAATGGCAATCTGCTTTGGAAAGTTTTGGTCTGTGATGCTTAGTGTGGGCATTGTCCAAGAAGCCAGACCCAAACCTGTTTTGTTCTGCTCTTTAATGAAGAATACAAGGCAGTCGCTTTGAAAACTTGGCTGTGAATAATTTGTTTCCCAATGCTGCAACTTCTGCTATTATCATACTTTTTTTGGCAGGCAGGTTAGGGAGTTTTTCAGCAATGCAGTCATTGTTACCCAAATATCATTAAGGTGATTGCAATGCTCGTCTGGATAATACACTACTAGAATGGGGAAGAAAGATGCCAGGAATAAGTTTACTGTAATAGTATTAAGTTAGCCCTCCTCAGAAACTGCAGCCCTCTAAAATATTTATCTCCAATCTCATGGATATATAGCGCTCAAATGAAATTATTTTTTATAGATTTCTCAACTGCATCACTTCCACAAAACAGATTTCTTAAATTATGGATCTCTGAAAAAACATTCTTCCCAGGAAAAATGATGCTCTGATGTTATCACGAATCAAACAAACTCAGAGCTCCCGAAACATGTTTCTGCCCTCAGGCCAGCAATGCTGAAGAAGAAATATTCTCTTGCCACAAATCTCTCAGCTTGGCAGCATAAACACTTGGAAAATGAGATATAACCTAACATAAAGCAAGGCTGGTCACCCTTTCCTTTATGCTGGATGCTTTCCTCTGAATGAGGATGCCCCACATGGCTGCTTTCATATCTTTGAGAGTAAAACAGGTGCTTTTCCTACATGGCCTGGTACAGAAAAGTGCTCAAAACAAGAAAATATACTGGCTGGAAAAATATACTGTGTTTAGACATATAGTCTGGGATTACTGGTCTCCTCTTGCAGCTGCTAATGTGCCTATGACCTGAACAAGTTTGATTGAGCATAAGATGCTGAAAGACACTCTCCATATTGGTACGGTTCAATCCTCCAACCTCAGCAATATCCAGTGTGGGGGCTCAGCCCTAAATATCTATTTGTTCAATTCTAACACTCACATCCAATTATCATTCATTAAGAGCTAGGCATTTTATAGGCACAGAGGAAACCAGAAATGCTTCTCCCATGGAATACACTGGGAAGCTCATGATCTATCCTGAACCAACTGGATAGTACCAAGCAAATCTTGCTTCTAGCATTTTTACTGCAACGATTAGCCTCGATACACTTGATGAATTTTGACAAGACAGAGTGAAGGGACCCCAAGGAAAGGTAGCTCCAGGACACAGAGAAGTCATGGATTGAGTCTTCCAGGTTTCTTTTTTTTTGTTTCGGTTGGCACTTGCTAATAACCTATGGGTGCCTTGGGACATCTTGGGACATGCCCTGAATTTTACCATGTCCTATTTCTTATTGACATTACTTTAGTGGAATGAACCCTTGCCAAAGGAGGGAAGGTAGCAAGACAAGAAGAGGAGCTGCCTATTTACATGCCTAGGTACTCACCCAGGTAGTCAGGTCATTGGTAGCACTGGGGTGTTCACCTCCAGAAGCAGGACACAGGAGCAGGCTGCTCCAGGGGAGGCCAAGAGAGGTTGCTCTAACCAAGAGGCCTCATGGCTTTGGTGCTAAGAAGCTTGGGATGACACCTCCCTCTCCCATGTGGCCTGGGGACAGGGTTTTGCTTCTTCACATTTGCACAAACGATGTCTAAACCGCAGTTTAGACTAACCTGCATGTCTAAAACACATGGGGTGTTAGGTTCATTCTCTGCTGGGAGTCTTCAAAACCAACAAGGGCCCTTTCGATTTGCATGGCAGTAGCCAGCAGCACCCTGGGACTATTAAAAGCTGAGAGTGGGTTACTTTGCCTATTAAATCAAGAATGTTTTCTCAGTTCTGAAAGGCAAATTTGCTTTGTGAGGTGAGGTCCTTACTTTCAAAAAGTGCTTAAAGCTGTAGGAGGAGGTTTTATCGTATCCATCTCCATGCTCTTCTCTCTTCTTACAGAACACCAAGGCTTTCTCATACAGGAAAAGGTGCCTCTGCATTGGCTTGAATCGGGCCAGGTCCTTCATTTTCGTGGGGCCTTTCCGGTGGCCCGCCCAAACGCTGAAGGATCCTTGCATCAATACTTTTCCAAGCTCACTCAAGTCTCCCTGACGCAATAGATAAAATGGCAAAATGAAATACATGCACACAACAAGGTGGTCTGTCCAACATCTGCATATGTTTGAGACTCCTTCCCTTCCTCCTGAGATGCCCAACTCATTTTATAATTATCCAGATTGACTCACCTCATATCCAGTTATTGAGATCTGATGCATAGAGTCGTTGACTGACTTGAGTAAATCCAACATCGCAACCAGAGCTTCTTGCAACTCCTGAACTCCACCGCAGCTTGTGCTGTATTTCAGCAACTCCTATAATCAGAAATTGAAGACCATAATGTTTTTACTTCAGTGTAGCAGACTTTCTCCATATCCCTCGAAATGGCCATAGCACAGAAGACTACCTGCAGTAGGTTTTTTTTTTAAATTCTTTGTGGGGGGGCATCACATTTTCAGTAGACTCCATTCAGAAAGTTTAAAACTCCAGCAATATTTCATATTTAAGGCTTATGCAACTCTAATGTTGATTAATGATTATCCATTACTCTTAATGGACCTCCCGCTCCCAAACTCCGAAGTCTTTCTGTTTTAAAAAACAGGCATCTGAATACCTTCAAAAGCAACTGGTATTTTGTTAGACGTTGTACTGGTTTGAGCAAATAGGAATCCAGCCCAAGTTTGTGTTCTAATTTTCTTTGGCATTCCTGTAACCAAGAATTCATATTAAGTCAATATGACAACAATTCGGAAAAGTCATTCAGGTCGGGAGACTAATATGGATAACTTGAAGGCCCCTGCTACACATGATATATATTATGCAATTAACTGATGAATCGTGCAATAAATTTAGACCAGCCTTATGTGCAAAGTAATTATCACAGAATAAAAATTACTATCCGGCTATAAAAAGAGCCAACCAGTTACAAACATAGTGACTGAAAATGTGTAGCACTCTGTAACTGGTTTCTATCCAGCTTTCCTTTGAATGTGCAGCAGGGCTCCTAAGGCTTTAATTTACAAAATACCTTATTAAATCAAACAGCTCATGGTGCTTTATTTAAAAAAACCCCCAAAACTATAAAAATGAATATTTTATAGTGCAGGTTTTCTATACTACATGTGTACAAGTATCCAAAACTAGTATCAATGGAGAGTTTTATCCATGCATAGAGCAGGGAATAAAGTAGGCTGCACAGCAAAGGACTCTGCCATTGCATTTAGTGGGAAAAAATCCACCCATGATAAAATAGGCTTGGCACATGAATAATCAACATACCTGAAAGAAGGTGCTCTCTGAACATTGCCTCCACAGAGCTTCTGACCGCGGCTTATTCTGACAATATTTCTCATACATCTGAAAATCTTCTCGCTGAGAAAGGAAGAGCCAGTCAATTTTTAAAAACATACGCTGCACTTCTATTTAATTTTTACAGAAGAAGAAAATGAGCACCAAATGCTTATCTTATCTTCAGTTGCAGTTGCAAATTGGAAGAATGTACATTTAAAAGAAACAAAGGGGATGAGAAGGAACAGCTACTCCCCTGTTAGGAGGCTCTTGGACAGCAGATGGGATTTGTTGCTGTTTGGCCCCCTTAGTCTACTTCTACAAGAAGCATACTGTTAAGTGGACATGTATAGCAAAATGCATGTAGCCTACAGTTTTACACAACCTGGGAAAAGCTGGTCTTCCATCATCTATTTTAAATATGAAGATTGAGAAACTAACCCTCTCCAAGAAGCAGAAGCCCACTCTTTCTGGCGCTCCAAGGCAGTTTTCTAGACTGTGCAGAAAAATTCTGTAAATGGTTGAGAGAGAGACCGCAATGAGACTGTGAATAAAACAGCACTTGGGCAATCATTTTTTTTTAAGGGAAGCCAATAAAAAATAAAAAAAAAAAAAGGAAATGTGTTTAGTATTTTACTTGTGATGGAAGTCGTAGATCTCTGGCATGTTTCCGAAAAGAATATCCTTTCTGTTTCTTAGGACAGCTGGCATGAGAATGATCATATCTGGGTTATCCATTTCACCTCTGTAACCCTGAAGAATGCAAAATGTATCGTTACTTTTTTTATAACCTTGGTTTATTGGCCTATTAAAGAGATGATGGAAAGTGATATGAATACAATTTCAACAACCTTCATTTTGCTACAGAATATTTCTTATCTACGTATTTTTAGTCCCAGCATCTTCTTGGTTTCCCCTGTTTCTTCCTTTTCGTTCTTCCCACCCCATGCAACAGGAAGGGCTTGCCCCAGCTTCTGTTGGTACCAGATACTACCATTTCATCTCATGGCAAGAGGGAACACAGAGCAGCACAACCTGCTCCAGTACCCATGGAGTTGAGTCTGATGCCTCCTTGGCATCAGTCCATGGGAGCACGGGGCCAAAGATAGCAGCACAGAGTCTGGGAGATGAATGTAGATTTCTTGCACAGAAGAAAATTGCTCCTCTATTTGCTGAAACATTTACAAGTATGGTAGGGTATGAAGAGTTTGCAAAGAAAGGCTACATACTGATAAGACAAACATTTGCTCCTAGCTACGGCACAGCGGAGGAAAAAGTCCTGGAGGAATATTTGTCTTGGTTACACATGTCTGTTGTTAGGAATGCAAGACACATGACTGACAACTTATTTATATGGGAGAAGTGATTACAGGTAACCTTACAAGGTCTGAGGCACTGGGAAATCTGCAAACTCCTAGAGATCAAATACCAAAAATCAATGGGCCTTTTTCGCTCTTGCACAATGCAGTGTCTGAATACCAGGGTCTTTTTCTCATTGATTCTTGCTGCCTATGGTTTTTTTTCTCTCTCCTGGTTACAGTGTCTGCTGCTTGAAGCCAGCTGCATTTTCTAAAAGGAAATCTTGACTAAATAATCTGGCACAGCAGCATAAGTGGTTATAACTTACTAGTAATACAAGCACAGACGTGTATGCTAAGATTGCATTCCTACCACACTGCAAAAGTATTTTAGTACCTCTGGAAAGACCAAATAACTTACAGAAGTATCACCCCCCTCTCTCCCTGTTTCTCTAAATTCATCAAGTGAAAGACTTGTCAAAAAGACCAGAGAGAGCGTTATTAGCCATCCAGTTCAAGGGACAGATTCTGACTGTGGATAAAACGATCGTAGTGTCCCTACAAGCCAAAAAGCATTGTACACAACTGAATGCATCGTGAGGCCCACCCACTGTATCTCTTAAACCAGTTTGCAATAAGGAATTAAGTAAAACAAACACATGACTGGGGTCATCTGACCCCACAGCTCTTCCCTGCCCAGGGCAGGGGGTTGGACTCAATGATCTGCTAAGGTCCCTTCTGACCCTGAAAATCTATGAAATCTAATTTATCACATCCCACTGCTTTAAAATGTGGATCCTTTAATACAAAATTGCTCATAGGCAATACCGATGGACCTTATATTAAATGGGAATTTGCTCCTGAGTTTAGGATACAACAGGCTCATAAACAATTTTGGAAGATTAGTCATGTCAGTGTTAACCGTGACTGCCAGCCCTTTCTTTAAACTGCTGCATCTCATGAAGGATCTAACAGGTGTCTCATGAAGGATTACAGGATCTAATATGCTCTGGAAAGAAGAGGAAGCATAGCTTAGATGTGTCCATCCAGGGCATTTTGCATTTCTATGTACTCAAATATCCACACACACCACTGCAGCCTATATGTATTTCTGTCCGAACCATTGATAAATTTAGTTACCAAGACACTAGTGTGTGAACAGAAGGTTTCTCCTACATTACAGATGAAAGGCTTGTACTGACACATACTGCACACGCAGATGTTGGCTGAATCAAAAACGCCAGGAGACCATATTCAGAAAGGTTTCTGATCGCCTGGGCCATGGCAATTTAGTAGAAATTTGCCAAATCACATTCTTGCTTATTTGGCAGTGGCAGGTGCCTTTTCATCAAACATATCAGGGAGCAGTAATGATGAAGTTTAAAGACACTCACCGTCAAAACAGTGAACAGTTCTTCTACGTATACTCTCTCAGTCTCTATTAGCTCATTTATGACATGGCTAAAATAAAGAAGAAATACAGATGGAGTATTTCTACTTGTATCAGTAAGTTTAGCCCACGATGACGCAAAGTGAGGATGAACATACCTGCAGTTAACCCTACTCTCAGGCTTTGCACACACGAAATGTTTCTAGCAGGGTAATCAGTACCCTAAGCTCTAACTCACTCAGGCCTCAAACAGACTTCTTCACAAATACCCACCAGAGAGAGACAGTTAACAATGCCCTTAGCAATTCTGTGCTTTCTCAGCTCAGCCACTGCAATGGAAAGATGCGTCTTATTAATGGATGTGCAGTGAACTCAAGGCTGCTTCTCTGTCTGAGTCTAGGGAAGACCTACAACTCAGCCAAGTTGTATTCAATAAGCCCTAAGTGGTAGATTAGAGAGATCAAATATTAACATACTTAATGGTTAAGTATTGTTGGGCTTCTATTTTACAATCTTTTATTGGGCTTCTATTTCCCGACATTTGTCCAAATGCGTTACTTAGATCTGCACTTGCATCCTATATGCAAGCTTCCTCTTGTTCTACATACAAACCTTTCCCTTGTTCTTCCTGGTCATGCCAAAGTCTTACACAAAGAACAGAAGTCTTTTCTTACTCATAGACGCTCTTCTGAAACTATCCCATTCCCCTTTTTCCCTCATTTCTTTTGACTACCCTAGCACATGCACTTTACGATTGAGTTCTGAAACGTTTCCTTCCGCTGAGATACTCTATATAGCAGAGGCGGCCAATTATTATAGGTGGAAGGCGGCTTAATGAGTTTTGGCGAGCTGTCGAGGGCTGCATGGGTAGCCCCACCCCTTGACAGCTGCCCCACCCTCAGGTCACCATCTTAGGACCATAAGTCCCACCCCTTAAACTTTGCCACCAAAAGTCCAGACGCACCCCGGAAGCACTCCGTTTGGGAAGAGGGATTGCCATTTTGGAATGGGGAAAAACCCCCCCAAATTATATACGAAAAATCAAGCAACCACAAGAACATATTTTAATTTTATTTAAAAAAAAATATTGTTGTCCTGATTTGTGTTTTCATCGAGTATATAGAGGAGATTGCAGAATAGCTCAAAATGAAGTCTTGCTCTTGTATATTGTGGGGGTGGCGAAGGTCAGGGGCTCCGGGAGGCTGCAGTGAGGGGGAAGAGATGCTTTACCCCCACAGCAGTTTCTGCCTGGCTGGCACTGCTGTTGCTGCTGTTTAGCATGAGCAAGCGAGTCTGGAGCAGGCGCTGGGCACGCTGGGCTGGGGCTGTGCCACAGGTCCCCACCAGTACCGTGGGGCTGGGGCCAGTGGCAGCGGCAGATGAAAGAAGCTGTCACTCCCTGGTCTGCCTAGAAAGGCAGTCAAGCCCCAGCCCCACTGTGTGCCCAGGGGGCAGCTGGATGCACCACGGCTGGACAGTGCCTGGACCAGGTGGATCAAAGGACCTGCCGTGGGCCAGACAAAGCCCTGTCATGGGTTGGATCTGGCCCATGGGATGTATTTTGCCCACCCTGGTATATAGTCTAGACCAATCTATGGTACGTGTATCACCAGTGATATGCAGACAACCTGTCAGTGGTACGTGTTACCAGATTTACTATAATTACTTTATATGACACGCAGGGGTGCAAATGGTACTTCAGTTTGGTGCTGGTGGTACGTAAGGTTGTATTGTTTTAAATTAGTGGTGCGCAATCTGTCAGTTTAGGAACTGCTGGTTTAAAGAAAAGTCTACTAAAAAAATCACTGTAGACTGCTTCCTTCTGTGAGCTACAAGTCCAAACCGGGCTCTGATTTTGCACAAAAAAGTCTTTCTATATATCATTTGAACAGCACGTTATAAAACATCTGGTATATGGAACAATACATACCCTTTTAGTGTGTCTAAGTTGTCTTCACTGTCTGAAATAAATGAAAGCAGCGAATTCCTTTTTTCTTGATAGTCATGCATTACTTCAATCTGAAATGGATATGGTACGTATTAGAGACCTGTACGTGGAACGCACCTGAGGCGATCTCCGATAACAAGAACACAGAACTACTTTAGGAAGTCTTCTGGAATTACATATGTTGCATGTTAAGACATTCTTTACATAATGTCCGTGCTCAGTTTAAAAATGAGGGACAGTCCAGGAGCAGCCATGTTCCTCCAATGTGATCTTACAAGCTAAAAACACCGGTTGTGCTTGGTGGCATAGCGACCATCTCTTTGTCTGTACAGAGCTCAACAGACTCCTGGCCCCTGAATGAGGCACCTGGGTATAAGCGTCATTTGAAGGCTTAATTCTACAGGGCATGCATAAATATGTAAACGAGCCGTGAGAGAGCCATGTACATAGTCTAATGATGCCCTATATACTCAAGCCTGTGTTCAGCTTGAATGGGAATTTTGCATATGCTGATGGGCTTTGATAAACTGAGTCTGAGTGGGCACGTCTACATGTGCATTTACTGTGCAGTAAATTTACTGTGCGGCAATTTACTATGCAGTAAGTGGGTTTACACTAATGTCTATATGTGCAGGCATTAAAGCGTATGTCACGGGGTAGGGCCTAGGAGCGGCCGTGATCCCGCTAGGTCCCCCTGCCGTGCCAATTAGGAGATCCAGCACCCTCTTAATTCTCGCCCGCCACGTCTTTGATCTCATATAGTTTTATATGGGAGGCTGCCTTTTATCTCCTATGATCTCAGGGTGACTTGGTGCACCCCAGCCTTATGGGCTATGCGTGCCTCCTACCTCCCCTTTAGTACGCCCCAAGCCTCGCAGCTATTCCTGACATTCTTGTGTCTCCAACCTTATACTAGCCCCTCCTGGGCTTTACTCTTGCAGGCTGGCCCCCCTTGGGCCTATGCCACGCACTTCCCGCGCTCTTCCCCTCACCGGGGCCTGTCTCTGTGCCTCTTGCCCTTCACGGGGCCTGTCTCGTGCCAACAACCGCACCTGGGGCTCAGGTGGCATGGAGCCGTGCCTCGCCCCTTGCCCCTTGGCTCTCTCGGAGCCTGCTCCCGCGCCTCTCACGCCCTTGGCTCTCTCAGAGCCTGCTCCCGCGCCTCTCACGCCCTTGGCTCTCTCTGCTGAGCCTACACGCCAGCCCTGTCTCGGGCTTTCACCGGCGCCGGGGGCTCAGGTGGCACGCAGCCGTGCCTGGCCCCCTGACCCTTCTCAGGGTCTTACGCCCTCACTGGGCCGAGTACGGCCCTCTTGGGCTGGGGTCTCAACCCCACACCCCGCACCACACTGGTGCCCAGCTGCCGCGCCTTCCCAGCGCTGCTCGGTGCCCAAACAGGGCACCCAGGAAACCCCCGGACTGCTGGGGATCTCCTGTGAGGCCTCCTCAGACCCCTACAGCCTCACCCGGTCCTCCGGATGATATACACAACAGAACCATAAGCCAACTGGCTGGAACCAAACAATAAGCCTACCGGCTGTAACAAAAACAATAGGCCTACTGGCAATAACAAAACAATAAGCCTGCCGGCTATAACAAAAGCATAAGCCTACCGGCCATCACATAAAGTCCAGGCCCTCCTGGCTCTCTGGCCAAAGCCTCCCGGTCAGGCTTCTCTCTGCCTTCACCATAACACATCCCTCTATGTGCTCAGGCTACACTGCTTAG